GATTATTTGACTGGAAATTCTTATAACACAGTTGGCGATGTTACTTCTGGCACATTGTTTCAAAAGGAAAGAAACAATTTAGAAACAAACACACTACATATCAGTTTACATGTTGATGGTGCTCCTCTGGTCCGTAGTTCAAAAATTAGTTTATGGCCTTGTTTCGCAAGTCTGATAAACCTTCCACATCACATTCGTGAACAACAAAAGAACTTGATGATCTTAGGCTTGTGGTCTGCAAAAGAGAAGCCACAAGCACAGGTGTACTTGTATAAAATGGTGAAACAAATATTATTTTTAATGCAAGAAGGTCTTACAGTTTTCATAGGACATGAAGAATTTACAATTTATTTAAGAACACAATTTTTCCTCTCCGACCTGCCAGCAAAATCGCTTTTTTTGAATGTAGTCAACTATAATGGTTATTTCGCGTGTACAAATTGCTTGATGAAAGGCAAGTATTGGTTTCTTGACCTTTCATTTAAAATCTGAGAATTTAGCGACGGTCAAACAAACAAGAAAAAAAAGGGAGTTGAGCTTTTTTAAGATATCTTCATGTTCTACTTTTTATTTATGTCAACATTTCTAAATCTAGCGACGAGTACTTCGCTCTTTCTCTATGAGTAAAAGTCCAGTTTTCAACCGCTGCGTAAAGTACCATTGAGTGACTTAGTTTGAAGTTAGTAGAAAGTCAATTTATTTTATTTTCTTTGTGCAGGAGAATATAATCGTCTTTATTCACTTGTCCTGTATCCATATCGTTTATACGTTTATGCTCCAAGAAATCATCAGAATTTTCTAGATACTGCGGTTGAAGCTGCAAATATTAACAGTGATAGTAGGAAAAATGCAAAAATTATCAATGGTGTGAAGGGATTGTCAAACTTATTACACATCTTTCAATATCCAGACCAAATCATAATGGACTACATGCATCTTGTGTGTCTAGGTTTTACACTGAATTTGATCAAACGATGGCATCAAACTCTGAAGAAAACTGATATATTGTTAATTGACAAACAACTGCAAGATTTGCGTCTTCCTCATAATCTCAATACACCTTTCATTTTTTCCATTTCTTCCTGTACTGATTGGAAAGCAAAAAATTTCAGGTGTTTCGTGCTTTACGTGGGCCTTCCTATAATGGTTCAATTCCTCGACAAGTTACTTGTTAGTCATTTCGCAGTATACTGTAAGTAATCACTTTTTCTATTGCATTTCCGTAAAATTTTGCAATCTTAGCAAGAATGCAATCTTATTAGATAGAAGTAGATTTTGGAGAATAATATTTGATCGAGCATCACTACTCATTCTGAATATTTAGCGACGCTCCTCAGATTTATTTTCATAGACTACTATCACTTCCATCACGAATTCAAGAGTTCGTGGAGGGAAGAACTAATTTAGCGACGAGTGATATGCTTATTTCTAGCTAAATTTCACTTCTTTACTTATAGGTATATGCATTAAAATATTGCATTGTCCTATTAACGACCAAGAAATTAATTTTGCTGAAGATTTATTACATTATTTTTGTAAAACTGCTCCAAAAGTTTACAACGAAGGAATTGAACTGTACAGCCTACATGCACACTTACATCTTCCTCAACAGGTGAAATTGCATGGGGGGTTGGCTTTTACGTCGGCCTTCTGCTTCGAGAGTGCTATTCGTTATGTTAAATCAAAAGCATTTGGGAGTAAAAATTTGGCGACTCAGATTGCTTTCTGGCTTGAACTAGAATCTCTTTTGCCTACGACTCCACTACAAACGTCACCATCGATTCTTCTAAATGAATTCTCCATCGAAAATGATATTTTAAATGATTTTCGTAATATCCTCTTGCTATCCGTGCAGCAGAAGAGCATGTACGTTGATAGAATCAAGGTTTTTAAACGATATAAACTGAGTCATATCACTTTTCATTCATTTATCTACGATCAAAAGTATACGTGCAATAGTTACTCGATTAGCTTTGACTATCAAGATGAAAAGGGATTAGGAAATTGTATTTTATTTTTTTCTTACGAGAATGAACTTTTTTGTTTAGTACAAAGGTTTGCTCTTTCTTGTGTTCCAATCTCTTCTTATCTCAGTTTTCCTTCTAATGAAATTTCAGAGAAATTAGATGAATTGTATAGTGTTTGTACATTAAGCGACGATTTTGAAATAATGAACGTTAATTGTATTTTACATAAATGTATCTGTGTGCCGTTTTACAATGAATTTTGTGTGAGTGAGGTGCGAGTTGATTTTGAACATGATTAAAAATAAATTTTTGAGGAATTTTTGAATGAATTCGCAGTTCTAGGTGAGATATTTTCCTAAACTAGAGTTTATATAATATGGTTATGATTATTTTGTTTGCTCTGATTCTTTTCAGATGGCTACCAGTTCGAACCTTTATACAAAAAGGTTTCTAAGTACTACATCTTGTCAGTGTATCGGAGATGAAGATTTTGTTCTAATCGTTTGGCCTAAAGAAAATAACTATTCGATTTTAAAAAAATCCAAATGTCCAAAAGAAGATGAAAATTGTATGATCAAATATAAAGAAAGAAATACAGTTCATACTGGATTTATATTTCGAGAAGGTGAGAGTTTTCTTTCTACGAACTACTTCTCTTTAATTCTGTATTGATACAATTGTTTAAACTTCTTGTTTCGCAGGAAAAAAAGATGAAATCGAAAGTGCTGCAAAGTCGTTAAATAAAGCATTGAATACTGATGTGGAATCAGATTTTGAAGTACAAGGATCACAACAAATTTCAAAGAAAACATTGCTATTAGCAGCGAAACCCGATGCAATTGCAAATTTAGCAGGTTTGTAAGTTAATTTTCTCAAGCGTCGCTAAATTATCTAGCTTTGGATAATGAACATTTCTCTTGTTGTTTTCATCTCTTAGTTAGTGGTAGTGGCAGTTACGTAACTGGAAGTGAAGCAAAGACTGTATCTAGTCTAAAAGATATTTCATTCACTCGTAAACAAAATTCAGGGTACAATGCCTCTACAAGTTCGCTCACAATAGATAAACATGGTGATAAAGAAGACAGAAGAAATCAACCATCAACTTCCACTACAGAAAGTGAGTTTCTACCACTTAATTCATTGATACTAAAGGCGTACTTGCACTCCTAACTATACGGGAGCTAAGAATTTAGCTACAGTAAAAAAGGCGATGAAAATGAAGTACTTTTTAACCAAATCACTTTCGTACTCTACTTTAAGATCTTTTCTTGTATCTTGTTTTCTGTCGTGAAAGGTACATTGGATGAACTTGATGCGATCATGCAAGAGCCTTCAACTTCAAAGAATAACCGTCAAAGTGATAGTAAATTGGAGTCCGAATTTAGTGACAAAGATGATGGTGAAGAATTGGATTTGCAAAAGACAAAATCTGGTGGGAAGCAGAAACGTAACACATCGTCTGGTGGTGAAAGAAAACGTTTAAAACCAATTCGAACAGCTACTCGAACTACAACAATAAATCTTTCACCGTCTCGTCCAGCTTTAGCTGGCAAGCCAATTCTTCCAGGTGAGTTCTTCATCATGTTCAAAAAAAACTCGCACCTCACTCACACAAAATTCATTGTAAAACGGCACACAAATACATTTATGTAAAATACAATTAACGTTCATTATTTCAAAATCGTCGCTTAATGTACAAACACTATACAATTCATCTAATTTCTCTGAAATTTCATTAGAAGGAAAACTGAGATAAGAAGAGATTGGAACACAAGAAAGAGCAAACCTTTGTACTAAACAAAAAAGTTCATTCTCGTAAGAAAAAAATAAAATACAATTTCCTAATCCCAAAATGACATACCTTCCACGCTTTTAAGCTAAAGAAAGACCGAGTTGGAGTCATTACGGAAGTTGTACAACAATATCAGTAAAATCACGCGTCTTTTAGCCGTTAATGAGTTCTTTTCGGCTTTTTGCTGCGATTTTATTTGGCTAAGCAATGTAAAAATTGAAGATATGTCATTTTGTAGAGAAATGAACGTGCTATCTAATGGTATGTTTAAAAAAAGGTTTTCGATGTACTTTGCAATTGGTTTTTTGGAGAACTCGGGATTTCAAAGACCTATATCTCAGAAACGGGAGATAAGGTATTGCGATCTCAGCTGATTCATATGTTTCGAGAGGTGTAAAGTCCGAAAATGTGCATTGGGGTCAACAGAAATGGGGAAAACATGGTTAAAAATAGCTTGGGGAACCATCAAAAAACAAAAAAGTGTCGTAATGCTTGTGAAAGGTGGCCCTCTGCAGATTTATAGGAGCGATGCGGAAAATAACAAATTATATTTCTAGATAGAATTGACTACGAGGAACCTGATGCACGTATTAGTTTTGAGTTTAGAGTTCGATCTGATGGCGAAAAACGCATTTCAATACGAAGGATTTTCATGATTTTCACCCATCTTAGTGCAGCATTTTGAATTTTTTTTAAGTGAACCATTTTATTCCTTGTGGTCTGTAGTCTATATCTTGAAGCGTTCATGTTTGTCGCTTGTGTCATTTCTGCGATAATTAGGTATGATTTGCGTCTTGAAACCTAGAAAATCACCAAATGTCGGAGCTCCGCAGAATCCCATGCCGATATTTTAAATCACGTATTCTTACTTAGAACTAAATGCTCTTTCAAATGAGATACGTCGTGATTTTGCGGCAGACTACCATGTAAAGTGTGGGGCAGTATCGAAAGAATTACTTGTTTTGTAAGACCTACTCTTATAATATCTAACAGAACATCCTTTGTATACGTTCTAGGTGAATCCGTTAATGAACAAATATTGAAGAAAATTCATTTAGCGACATCGGAATCTAATAACGATATACAGAGAAAACTAAATCAAATTTTGGTATCATTGAAAAAACATGACAAAATGTTTGAAATGTTATTTAAAAATCAAAGTAAAATACAGAAGTCGTTTAGTCATCGTCATGTAAGGCAATTTAAATTCTTTTCCATTTACATTATGGGACAGTATAGGAATTTCTTTATAGGTTCATATTCCCTTACAAGTGCCAGAACGAGAAGAAGAAGAAGTCAGACAAGATAATTCTGAAGAATCATTTGAAAGTGTTCTTGTAAGCAACATTTTCTAGTCTTCAAAAACAAAAAAATAATATTTACTGCTTTCTAGGTATACGAACGAGAGGATGAAAGCATTAATTTATTATCCTTGGAAGCGGATATTAATTACTTAAACTTATTCGTAACGTTGTTGATGGATGTTATATATAAAAATGCAGATGAAGTTATTAATTTGGATCCAAGTACAATTGCTCAAGATCAAGGTTATCAACTTATAAAAGGCAAGTAATTTCGGGACTATAGTTTTAGCTTCTCGAGTTTTGAATTTCTCTTGCCGTAGCTAAATTTTGCTTTCTCTATAAACGACATTCGGACTCGTGAGAAATTATCTGACGAAGGAGCATACCCAAGTGAGGCATACCGATTTTTTTCATTCTTATGCCGATCGATAGAGTATATCTAGGTAGTAAATACCCTAAAAAGATTCGTGCCCATGACTCTTCGAGACCCGGTTTTCTGGAAAAAAACATTTTCTGATACTCTGAAGAATGTAATCAAAACCTTTTCTTAATGATGCAGGATTATAGGCCGCAAATTTCTGATTAAAATGAGACATCTCCTAGCTCCACATGGCCTTTTTTTTGCAAAATTATAGAATTTACAAGAAAAACCCTAAATTAATTTCTTCTTATTTCTGCAGCTTTGAGCTGACAATGAACATTTAGGGTTTTTCTTGTAAATTCTATAACTTTGCAAAGAAAGGTCATGTAGAGCTGGCAGATGTCTCATTTTAATCAGAAATTTGCGGGCTATAATTCTGTCTCATTAAGAAAAAGTTTTGAGTACATTTTTCAGAGTATCAGAAAATGTTTTTTTCCAGAAAACCGGGTCTCGAAGAGTCATGGGCACGAATCTTTTTAGGGTATTTACTACCTAGATATACTCTATCGATCGGCATAAGAATGAAAAAAATCGGTATGCCTCACTTGAGAATGTTCCCTCGTGAGAGCTAAGACATGTAAAGTTTTTTCTGTATTTTCTCTTCCTCAGAAACAGTTAGATCCAAGTTCAAAATTCGTCGACAAAAAATGGATGCTGTCTGGCCTCGATTACATCAAGTGTTTCTGCAGAAGAGACGTAATTTAATTAAACAGGTTCAGAAGCAACCATCAACACCATCACCTTTACGACGACAATTAATTCGTTCTCGATTCAAACGTTCAGGACTAAATATTGAATCTTTATATGCTATGACAAAAGAAGAATCACCACAACAACAACAGGTTTTCTTAACCAGTACAGATGGATCAAATTCAATTGATCGACAGTCATTACCAGAGGACGAAGAACAGTGAGAAACAACTGGACAGTAGCTTGTTTTTGTTTAAGAATAGACACAACTGTTTCAGGTTTTTCGAAATTTACACTCCTTGTTTTGTTTAAAAAGTTCTGCATAATAAAAGAATACCAAGAAGGAAGAAAGAAAAAAAAATGCTGTCATAGTAAATCGCACGTGGGTAGCACTGGTGCAAGGCTGCATTTTAACCGAAGAAAAGAAAATTTAGCGACGGTTTTATCGCGTTTACAACCGATCGGTACCACTGGTCTAACCAAAAAGACCGTGCGGTAATTTCACATGTCCATTAGGTTAACCTCCCATTATACTCGGCGGTGACCGCTGCGGTAACCGGCGGTATTTTAGCGGTTCTGATGACATGGGGGATCATAGCCTGACTGAATTACCAAAGGTATAATAGGCCGTCTACTAGTTATAGTGATGAAGGTCATGGTTGATCCTTGACATTCCTGTTCATAGGCTGTTGACATACATATTAAAACTTGATTTGCATTTGCTATAAACACTGGTTCGTCATATGGTCCTTGTGCGGATTCTGGCTAATGAAAGAAATATAAATATCATGTTTCTCTCTCTCTCATTCTCGAAATATGTTAAAAAAAGAGACTTCTCTTATTAATTACAAGTGAAAATCTGCTGTTGGTTATTCACAGAGAAAAAAGTTGCTTACCTGATGTTGTAATTGTTTTGAAACTAAAATTGGCAAGACAGAGAAGTTCTGCTAGATCAAAGAATCTTTAATCGGCACAATAAGTTTATTATCAGCAGATGCATAGCTGATAATGGTATCATATTGAGGTGCAATATGTCTGGTTGCTACTGGATTCATGTACTTTCGAACTTTCTGAGGTTCCGATGAAGAAGAGTCACTTATACTCTGTGCCATATTGAATATCTTGAAGATGTTCAACTAAATGGTAGAAAACGACAGGCAATTTAAAGATGCATGCAATTAACGGCTCACATGATCACGCGTGATTTTCATACACTAGGAAAAGTCCTTGGCGAAAAACCTCTCCGTGCAACGAAAGTACTTCCGGCTAGTGCATTTTCTTAAAGTCCTTAACGGCTTATCACCCTTATCTCGCTTGAATCTTGTACAGTTGGATGTGAGTAGAAGATCCGAACGTGTATTACAGCATAACAGACAAGTTTTTATCCCGTTTGCGCGCACTGAAACTGTTGTACAATCTTTTTTTGTATAGGACCGCGCGGTTGGAATTCTCTCCCCAACACTAGGTATCTCGCCAACAATAAAATCTTTCAAAACCAAACTGAGGCAGTACCTACAACTGTAAAAGGAAAAAATAGCATAAAAAGGTAGCAATTTGTATAGGTGTTTACACCTTTTTTGCTTTCATGACAACATGTTTATGTGTTGGTTAAATTTTTGTATTGTAAAACTAAAGTTTACTCTTTTCTGTACGAAACTGCCGTTGTTGAAATAAAAATCAATCACTCAGTAGTAGTGAGGTCACAGTTATTCAAGGCAATTAATGTCCCATATGTTTCTTTAATTTTCTCACTTACAGATATCAACCCCAAGAAACATTTCCTACGCATTAAAATATCTCTAATCTGTAGAACTTTTTCTACATCTTTTTCCACATAACTGATAATTATGTTGTAGTGGTGAAGAGCACTCATTTCCTCCGGATATGAAGGATAGTTATTGATTTATGGAAGAATTATAAAAATTCTACAAAAAAGTATACTATTCTTTTTTGTGTGATAGAAATTTCAGTTTCATAATAGTTTTTTCCACGTATCTGTGTAAATGACAAAATAATGAAAAAAGTATGAATGTCTCTTTTGTTCGCTGTTCCTCATGAAATGTGACTATTTCAAACATAAACAATAGAACCGAATGGAAAAAGAAAACATTTCGTTCATTGTGTAGGCTAATCAAAGCGCAACAAGTCAAACATTACGAGCTTATCGGGAGAAAAACGAATTATTCCATCTTACATATGAAAACAGATGAAGAAAAGATTCAGTTTGTCCTACAAGTAAATGCAATAATACAGAACGCAATGCAAAACATTTCGAAATGAATTCTGATAACCTAACACTTTCAGTTTCGTTCTTCTGAATAAGAGCCATAATCAGTTCTCAAAAATTTTAGGAATCAAAATTGTCATACCCAGATGTATTCAACGTATGGGTATAGCCTATGTAAGCTACAACTGAATCCGCCACAATTGTTACTTTTTATTTCGTTGTTTCAATCAAAGTTAACACTGGAAATCTCATTGAATCAAACACTGAGCACTGATTAATTCTACTCAAAAATGTTTTCCAAATGATAACTGTGAGAGGGAAAGGTAGCTTTAAATCAGCCATTCGAAAAGAAGGTAGGTTGAATATAAAAGTATTGTTTAGTTTTACTTTGATAAACGTGACTAATTCTGTGGATTAGGACAAAAACATATGAACTTTTGGAGGGAAGTAGCCGGCTGCTTTTCATTTATGTGACCTATAAACTGAGGAGATATGTACTCTGCGCAAACTGTAAAAAAAAGAAAACTTTTCTTTCATACAAAGTACACTACTACCTCAATTTAAAATTCTCTTGCACACGACACCCATATCGATAAGTTTTCTTTTGAGAAAATGTATCGATTTATCTTTTATTTCAATTGTGATGAAAGAAAATGCATCTTTTTTCCCGCTCAACTTTTATATACACATAACTTAATCTCATTAAATGACTTATCCTTGAGATTAATACATTCTGTTGACCAATCAAGGACAGAACATAGAACCGAATTAATATACAGTTCATAAACTAATTTAACTATCCTT